TCTCTCTCACTTTATTCCCGGTCCCTTTATCTTCTTCCTGACCTCTCTTGAGTTTCTATTGCCCCTGAAACAGGGTTTTTTTAAATATATTCATTTTTGGTATCCATATTTTCTCAAGTTCTACCGACGAATTTGTTTACATCAGTTCGTTGAATGAATGTCTGGAGTTAACTCTCTCATAGTTTACAGTATTTTGTGGGGAAAGGATAAGAGCTCGATATCAAAGGGAGTAAAGGGAGCAACGAACGCTAAAGCACAAAAATAGAACCTAAGAAATGTGACAGCGATGTGGTTTCAGTTTTCGAAGGCAACGGTCGAGTATATTTGTGAGAAGGCGGGAAAAATAAGATAAGGGAGACTGGAAAGGGCGGAATTATAAAATCTCACGTAAAGAAGAACGTAGAGATATTATCCTTGCATAAAAATATGAAAACCTACAAACAAAGGCGTTCTGATATTTTGCAGTTCATGGATCAAAAAGTTCTATTTACCATAATTTAATAAGATTTCTTTTTATCTTTAGCTCTCGGGCAACAGTTAGTTTCACCGATTTCTGTTCGCTTGAATTTAAGTAAGCTAAAAGTTAATATCTCATTCACAGCCTCTCTCATAGTTTTTACTTTTCGAATGCATCGTGCACAACACCACACATGTCGCTTTTCTCTTTACGTTCTCCGTATGAAGATTATTGTTCCGTTGTTTTCGCATATATGCAAGATGGGACAACGCCTAACATGGAACCGCCACGCCTATCAGCCCACATTCTTGACGATAAATGCGACATATTTTAGTGATAAATTGTTTTCTCGCTATCCTTTAATTCGGAAATGGGAAAATCCTGAGTGAATCAAAGGATACCAAAGATCTATTGCCCTGCCAGCTGAGGACGTAAGTGGTGGTGGGGTAGCATGTTTCCCGGAACTCGCTATGCCCTGTGTCCAGTTTTACTTTACGCCGATCGGTTCATCAAGGGCTAGGTGTTGTGAAGAACAGGCTCCGTGAAATGCAAGGTGCGGGACAATCCACAAAACGATCCATTAGTGTCTAGTGGAGATTTGCTACTGTTGCTAATACGGTTGTTGCAGTTTGCGTTGTTGATGTCGGTATCAATCAATATGAGCAACGGATTTTACACTTCAGTCAGAGCGAAACGTGGTGTGGGTGATCCTATTTCAAAACGTCAACAATTCATTCTTGATTTTGTCAAGGCTCTTTGCCTTCTTAGTTCTGGATTATTGGAGATGAACACTGAATAAGGAAGCCATCTAAATAATAAAAAAAAACAATGTTGAAAGGGACATCTCATACATAATACCATGCCATACCATATCATACCATACACCATACCATACCATGCCATACCATATCATATCATACATTTGACGGTTGAGTGGGTTCTCCGAGTCTGATTCTGGAGCGAGGAAAGTACATACTTCATATTTTTATGTTACT